GTATGCATTCCCACCAACAACGGATTTAGGGTCCCCTCTTCTCCACAACCTCTCCAACACTTGTTTGTTGCTTTGTTTATGATGGCCATTCTGATTGGTGTGAAGTGGTATCTCATTGTGGTTTTAATTTGCATCTCTCTGATAGCTAGTGATATTGAGCATCTATTTATGTGTCTCTGGATCTTCTGTATGTCCTCCTTGAAGAAATGTCTGTTCAAGTCCTTTGCCCACTTTTTAATTGGGTTGCTTGTCTTCTTAGACAAGTAGTCGTGTAAGTCGTGTAAGTTCTTTGTATATTTTGGAGATTAAATCCTTGTCTGAGGTATCATCGGCAAATATGTTTTCCCATAGAGTTGGTTCTCTTTTTATTTAAATACTGTTTTCTTTAGCAGTATAAAAGCTTTTAATTTTGATGAGATCCCATTTGTTTATTCTTTTCTTTATGTCCCTTGCTCTGAGGGGACACATCAGTAAAAAAGTTGCTGCGTGAAGCCCTGGCTGGTGTAGTTCAGTGGATTGAGCGCGGGCCTGCAAACCAGACAATCGCGGTTCAATTCCCAGTCAGGGCACATTCCTGGGTTGCAGGCCAGTTCCCTGCAGGCCAATTCCCAGCAGGGGATGCATGAAAGGCAACCATACATTGATATTTCTCTGGCTCTCTCCTTCCCTTCCCCTCTAAAGATAAATAAATAAAATTTTTTTAAAAAAAGTTGCTGCGTGAAATATCTGAGATTTTCTTGCCAATGTTCTCCTCTAGGACTTTAATGGTGTCACAGCTTATATTTAGGTCTTTTATCCACCTTAAAATTATTTTGGTATATGGTGTAAGTTGGTGCTCGACTTTCATTTTTTTTGCACATAGCTGTCCAGTTCTCCCAATACCATTTGTTGAAGAGGCTATTATTAGTCCATTTTATGTTGCTGCCCTATTTGTCAAATATTAATTGGCTGTAGAGACTTGGGTTTATTTCTGGGCTCTCTGTTCTGTTTTATTGGTCTATGTGCCTGTTGTTATGCCACTACCAGGCTGTTTTGATTACAATGGCCTTTAATACAGTTTGATATCAGATATTGTGATCCCTCCTACTTTGTTCTTTCTCAAAATTGCAGCTGCTATTCAGAGTCATTGTTTCCCCCCAGTTTTTAAATGATGTATTCAAAATGCCTGGAGAAGCTAAGACTACTCCATAACTTGCTCCCAACCTCCTGAATCAACACCATTCCTTGATATGCGATTAATGCCAAACACTTAGATTGTTGTATGTAAATGGATCAAGCATATTTTAATATTTAATCTTAGAAGCAATGAGGAAGCCTTCTACTTTGAAAATAAGGTCAGAATACCAAGAAAGGGAAGATGAATTTATGTCCAAGTCACTCAGGAACTCTCATGCAAGAACCTTATGTCAAAGTAGCCACAAGATTGTCTAATAGGAAACAAATTAGTGTGACTCCATCTTTACTGATAGAAACCAAAGCTTTGTGTGAAATCTTGAATTTGTAGAGATGGAAGGTAAAAAAGCATGCACCTGCCTATACTTTCCCTGATCCCTTTCCCTCATTTCTGAACCGCAGCAGAGTGAGCCTCCTTGGGCTCTGGTGACCACCATTGCTGGGGACTTTTGCTGTGTCAGGTACTCCCATTTGCTATCATTTTGTAAGTTACTAATGGTTTACCAACCAGCTTGCAAATTTTCTGAATATGTTAAAACCCACAAGCTAATTGGCTTCAGTACATCTGCCTGAGGATAATACCTTCAGGATATGTTTAGAAAAACAAACATCCTTTAGTCTAACCCAGGAATTTTGGACAGCTCATACGGGGTATTTTGGAATCAAATTACCCCAACTGATATAGTAAATCCCATCCACAAGTCCTCAGTGTTGTGCTGCTCACCATGAGAAATATGGAAGGTATATAAGACATAAGGCTAGTCCACATGAATTGGCAAAAAAAAATGGTATAAAAATTGCTCAGTTAAAGCATGCAAGGTAAGCTGAGCATCTGAGAGAGTTACATGGAGAAGATAAGTCTGGAGTTCTACTCTGCCTTGGTAGAGCTCCCTTTGCCCCTCCACACACATACAACAGAGGCAAGATCTGATCTGGTTAATTCTTTTTTTTTTTATTTTTTTTATTGATTATGCTGTTACAGTTGTTCTAGTCCCCCTTTATTCCCCTCCACCCTACCCCCCATCCCCACCATCACCCCCCCTTTAGTTTATGACCATGTGTCTCAAGTCCTTTAGATTCTATATTTTCCATGCTATTCTTGCCCCCCCCATCTATTTTCTATCTACTGTCTATGCTACTTATTTTCTGTACCTTCTCCCCCCTTCTCCTCCTCCCACTCTCCTGTTGCTAACTCTCCTTGAGATCTTCATTTCTATGTTTCCACTCCTGATCTAGCTGTCCTTTTAGTTTGCTTTCATTTTAGGTGTGGTTGTTAATAACTGAGTTTGTTGTCCTTTCACTGTTCATGTTTCTTTAACTTCTTTTTCTTAGATAAGTCCCTTTAACGTTTCATATAATAAGGGCTTGGTGATGATGAACTCCTTGAATTTGATCTTATCTGAGAAGCACCTTATCTGTCCTTCCATTTTAAATGAAAGTTTTGCTGGATAGAGCAATCTTGGTTGTAGGTCTTTAGATTTCATGACTTGGAATACCTCTTTCCAGCCCCTTCTTGCCTGTAAGGTCTCTTTTGAGAAATCCGCTGACAGTCTGATGGGAACTCCTTTGTAGGTGACTGTCCCCTTAGCTCTTGCTGCTTCTAGGATTCTCTCCTTCATTTTAATCTTGGCTAATGTAATTACGATGTGCCTTGGTGTGTTCCTTCTTGGGTCCAACTTCTTTGGTACTCTCTGAGCTTCCTGGATTTCCTGGAAGTCTATTTCCTTTGCCATATTGGGGAAATTCTCCTTTATTATTTGTTCCAATAAGTTTTCCACTGGTGGCTGTGCCTTTCCCCCTTCTGGTACCCCTATAATTCGGATGTTGGAGCGTTTAAAGATGTCCTGGAGGTTCCTAAGACTCTCCTCATTTCTTTGAATTCTTGCTTCTTGACTCTTTTCTGTTTGGCCATTATTTGCTTTCTTCTGGTCCACTCCATTGATTTGAGTCCCAGTTTCCTTTTCATTGCTATTGGTGTCCTGTGCAATTCCATTCATTTCAATTAGTTTCGCCTTCATATATTTGTCTAATTTGTCCGTATAATCAACCAGTTCTGTGAGGATCCTGATCACCAATTTTTTAAACTGTGCATCTGTGAGTTTTGCTATTTCTTCATCGCTTAGATTTATTTCTGGGGCTCTGAGATCCTCTTGCGCCATTCTTGGTCTGTTCGGGGCCCTTTAAGTGTGAGAAGCGGCGGCTTGGATTCCCAGGTCGCTTGGTTGTGACGCTGTATGTGGGGGCGTGGCCAGAGTGGGGAAATGGCGACCCCCTTTGCCGCTTCTCACAGCTGGGTGCGGAGGAGCAGTGCCTTAGGTGGTTCACCTGGGCCGGGCCACTCAGAGTTGCTGGGTTATGACGCTGTATGTGGAGGTGGGGTCAGAGCAGGGAAATAGCGGCGCCTTCCACTGCCGCTAGCCGTGGGGACCTGCCGGCCCGGTCCAACCGCCCACTCCCTCGCCTGTCCACCCTCGCACAAATGCGCGACCTCAGTCAACACGCAGCCCCGGGCCCGGCTGTCTCCCCCGAGGTCGCTCGCCTGGTTGCTCGCTGGGTCGCTCACTAGGTCCAACCCTGCGCCTGGATTCCGCATCTGGATTCCGCACCTGAGTCCGGCTGACCGAGACCTCCTGTGCAATCCCGTTTCACCAGCCGCTGGTTTCGCCCCTTACCGGTCAGGCTGAAGAATTTGTTGTTAACGGACTTCCGAAAAGTTCAATTTTCCGTGTTCTGGCTGTGTTTTCTGTTGCTAATATTTAGTTTTCTCTAATCTTGGTTGTGGGAGAAGGCACGGCACATCCACCTATGCCTCCATCTTGGCGGAAGTGATCTGGTTAATTCTATTCCATGTTTTAATCCTGTGACATTTGAACTACACTGATATGGCAGATGGTTTACCCTTGACCAGAATGAAAAGACCCTAGAGGATTTCAAGTAAAGTGACCCTAGCAAAAGATAAAGCAGAAACTGGATTTACCTTTCTTCCTGTCTGCCAGCATAACAACAGCAGTGATGATGATGTGACCTTCAGTTTACACATAACACTTACAGTCTACAGAAAGCATCTTCTCGTGGACAATATTATTTTATAAGTGAGAAAGAAATTCAGGATGTCACTTATCTTGCCTAATATCACTCCACCAGAGCCAGGTCCAAGATCCAGGCTGGTCTCCATCCAAAGCTAGTGTTTTGTCCTTTCTATCTCATAACTATTACCCATCCCACCATCTACCCATCCATCCATCCATCTGTTCATTAGATATTTATAGAATACCTGTTCTGTGGCAGGTACTGCACTAGGTACTGAGATATAAAAGTTAACAAGCACAGTGCTGTTGGTCATTGTTGACAGGTGCTGGGGTTACATGAGGTTCTTTTTTGTAGCTCTGCCAGAGTCCAGAAAAGGGCTTCACCATGTGCAGAGCAGTATGTCTTAACCTAGACTCTTGCTGAAGCTGAGTCCAAAAGTCTTTGAAGAACAGATAGGCCACGGTGCCAACTGAGGGCCATTGCTAGAGAAGAGGCCCTGAGCAATTCAAAGATCTCTCTGCAAGCATTCTGCTGTTCTTTCTGGACCACAGATGGTCATAGACCCATTTTGTTTCTGGGTGCATGGCTTCCCCTTCTGAATCCAGCTTCACTTCCACCCAAGGAGAAGTTCTTCTCTTTCTTCTATAGGGGCTTCCTCTCTAATTCTAATTTCCACAGCATTTGTCCCCTCCTAGCTTCCTTTGTATGTTGTTGGCTAAATTTACCTGACAGCATAAAAATGCTTCATAAATGCATAAATCCATTGTTTCATCTTATAACCTCTTTCTCATCTTCAGATCCTGTACCTAAGCCTGTCATAAAAATTGAGAAAATACAGGAAGTGAACAACAGCTGTTTTCTGATCCTGTCATGTGTGATCCCGGATAATATATCTGTTCAATACTTCTGGTTTAGGGACTCAGGTCCCTTCCCAAAAGAGCTCCAGAGTGATGTGCTTAACATCTCCATTAAGCCACAAGACTACTCCAAGTTTTACACATGCCAAGTCAGCAACTCCGTGAGCAGTAACAATGACACAATCAACTTTACTTCAGCCTGTACACCAGGTAAGAAATATTCCTAAGGGAGCTGTTGTGAGTTCAGAGCCATTAGTTTTCATGTGAGTGAAGAAAGGTGTGGGGTTCCTATTCAGCCTCCTGACACAGAATTTGGTGGAGAACCTCAGAGGCATCTGGAAGACTTGGGTTCTACTCATGGCTCCACTAAAACCTCCTAGTAAACTCGCTTTATCTTTATGGAGCTCAGTGTCCTTATCTGCAAAGGATGATTGCATAGGATGTCCCCTTTCCTCACTTGCTCTAACAATGCATGGTCCTTGAATCTGCAGTCAGGGTAATTGTAGGAAAATTTGAGATATCATGAAGAGCAAACAGAAAAAGGACAAATGGGAGAGCAGGCCACATATTGTTGAGCAAGTGTACCAAGGGGTTTCTGGTAGATAGCCTAAATCAGCAAATAAAGGCCAAGGAGATGAGCATGAGTAAAAACAAGTAGTGAACAGGAGTGAGAGCCTTATCCTAAGGTAGAGACACTCTGCTCTCCCCAACTGTGTGCTTCTTGATGAATTTAGGAAAGCAAATTCTTGGTTTTATGTTTCACACTTCTCTGTCTCCTGGGAGGATCTACTCACTCACTTGAGCATCACTCCTATCTCTCTATGAAGCCTACACAGATCCTATAGTAAGGTAGCTTAGATCAAGTAGTAAGTTCATAGGCTTTGGAGTCAGATACCTGGGATTAACTCTAGGAATGTCACTTATTAGCTAAGCAAGTTACTTAGTTTCTCTAAGTCATGTCCTATTAAATAGCTGACAAAATAATAGTTTTTATTTCATGCTGTTATAAGGATTGAATGAGACAATACAAATGAGTCAGTACAGTGTCTGACAGGTTTTCAGTGAGTGGTAGCTAAATTATGCTCATTCCCATCACTTTGGGAAACACTAAGGGTTTGGGGACTCAATTAGTAAATATGGATCATTATAACCAGCATTCAGGTCTCTTACTCTTCACACCCCTGAAGTTACATGTTTGAGCTCTGGTATACATATCCTTCTCAAATAACTCATACCAGTGATGGCAACATTAACCTGAGATCCCTGTCAAGCCCTGTCAGGCACCATAGCCTTTAAGGACACTGCTCTTTCATGGTCCTCTTGGATCTAGTATACTCTCCCACCTGTGCTGATTTCTATACCTCTGCAGACACAGGTAGACTGTGGAACTTGTATTCTCTTCTTTATTCTTCCCAATTAACTGCTCATGTCTCTTCTAGTTGCCTCATATTTTCTTCTTTTCTGTCACCTCAGACTCAATATGAAGTTTGGTGTCTGACTTTGAGACCACAAGTTGACTGGGCAGTTCTAGCACCACCTTCATATCAAAACCATATCCCAAGATCCAGAAAAATAAAGACATGTAGTCCCTGTCCTTCATAAAATTAAGGGGACTGCTCATTTGCAGAGAAGATGAAAATAATAATACATCAATTTTTGAAATGGCTAAGCCTATCTTGTCACTTTTTAGCTGTTCAAATTATCCTACAAAAGCATCCCTAACCTCCCTTCCCTATTTTATCACTCATTCTTTTTCCCACTATTTGTACTTCCTCCCCTCTCTTCCCATCTGTCTCCTCTTCTCTCCCCCTCTGTTTTTATTCCCTTCCATCTCTATCTCCTTTCTAGTTGATGTAGGTAGTTAATGGGGTGGAGAAACAAGAAGGAGAAGAAATCCTTGCCTCCCCAGGGTCAGCTGTGCATAGCATTTATGATCATCTGTTTACATTTGGAGCTTTGCCCTACCTAATGATGTCCAGTGGAGGAGAGTTATTCTTTCCCAGGCCCACAGACATACAAAGTGACCTACATGATGAGAACTCACCTGAGCCAGTGGTAGGTAAGGGGATTCTACATTTTTTACACTTTACATCTGGGGAGATTGAAGAGGATGTCTCAGGCACACTAGGACTGGATTCAAGGAGATAACACTGTCCTGCCCCAATAACAATTCCCGTATCCCCACCCTTTATCAATGTAGTAATGAAGACACCTAAGTATTTGGGGTTCTCTTGTCTTTTCAGCACGATCTTCTGGAGTAGCTTGGATTTCAGCATGGCTAGTGGTCATGATATGCACTGTTCTTGGCCTCCTGTTGACCTGAAACAAGTTTTCCCAATCCTGAAATTTGAAGACTTGAAAGGTCTTGCTTCTATCAGCAACTATGCTCTTAACCTGGAAGAAGCTCTGGTTCTATTGGATAGAGAAAGAGTGTTAAGTCATGCATAAAGATTTTCAAATTAACTTTTAAAAATCATGGCTATGTATGGTGATCATCACAGGAAAATGGGGGAGGGGAGAGAGAAGAGTGTAAAAGAAGATAAATGATAGACTTCACTGGGGGTGGTGAACATACAATACAATGTACAGATGATATAATATAGAATTGTACACTTGAAACCTATATAATTTTATTAACTAATATCACCCAAATAAATTCAATTAAAAATAAATAATAAGTAAAAGAAAAAAAATAAGTTGAATGTCACATTTCAGGTTTGCGGATCTTCCACAACTGAGTTGAAATGGTATATTTACATCTGTAGATTAAATAATAAATTATTAACAAATCATCAATAATGTAACCATAATATGCTATTTAGACAAATGCTGAGTGGGGATAATCTCTTTTCTCAAATACGAAAGATTTTCTTTATGACATGCCATTCTAAATCTCAATTTAGAATAACTATTAAAAATATTATAAATCACTTGGCAAAAATAAAACTCCTAAGCATAAAAATAAAAATAAAAATCATGGCTAACATTTTATTTTATATCCCTTAGTTGTTTTCCAACATGGATATATAGATACACATGCACTTTTTTCCATCAAAAATTGTGATCAACCCTGGCTGGTGTTGCTTAGTGGATTGAGTGCTGTTCTGAGAACTAAAGGGATGCCCGTTCGATTCCCAGTCCAGGTCCCCAGTAGGGAGTATGTGAAAGGCAACCACACATTGATGTTTCTCTCCATCTCTTTCTCCCTCCCTTCCTCTCTCTGTAAAAATAAATAAAATCTAAAAAAAACCCACGATCATACTATGCCATGTTGTATGCAATGATTAAATAAATATTTAATATTATTATCAAAGTGGATTCCTGAAATTACCTCAAATCTGTCAGACAATGCCAACTCCATCAGCCTGGAAAATTTGGAATATCAAGGTAAGTAGGGGAAGAGCCTGGGACCATAGCCTTTAGCTCCTATGTGGCTGAAGGTTAATTTGTGCTGTCTCTGAGTCTTGCTCCCATACCTATGATAGACCTCCTTGTGATCCAACACTCCCAAACTTCCCCTTCACCAAGTTCTGGCTTCCTTTCTTGTGGTTTGCTTTCTCTGGCTCCTCTGAGGAACATTATCAGGTTTCCTGGGAATATGGGATCAGGCTTACTCCTCCAGAACTGGGTATACAGCTTTACCACATGAAATGATCCCTCCCAAACCTTTCTTGGGTAGCAGAGCTCCCCACCCTCTTTCATCATTGTTGCTGTGTAACTCTTTAAGTTGTAGCTGTGTTGGGTGATCCAATAAAACCATTAAATTGACTGAATATTCTCACCAGAGTCTCCCACTATATTATGTCCAGCCCAGCATTGACATAATAGTTGGATTTTTTTTGCCATAGGTTTTTCTCCTCTGAGGCTCCCCATAGGCCTTTAACTAAAGAAGGCCACTAAAGGGTAGGCTCCTTTGACACCAAACTATCCTTCCCCATATCCAGTCCCTGTGGCAGAGGCAAATGCTGTGCAAGCTTTTCATTTTCCTCCTGGACTGTGATGGTTAACTTTAAGTGTCAACTTTACTAGACCATGGAGATGCCCAAATATTTGGCCAAACATTATTCTGGGTATGTCTGTGAGGGCATTTCTCTTTGAGGTTAACATTTAAATCAGTAGACTGAATAAAGCAGATTACCCTCATCCAATCTGTTGTAGGCTTGAGCAGAACAAAAAAGCCTCACCCTCCAGAAAGTGTGGGGCAACTCTTCCTGCCTGACTGTCTTCAAGCTGGGACATTTGGTTTCTCCTGCCTTCAGACTTGAACTAGATCTATGTCTTGGCTCCCCTGGGTCTCCCACTTGCCCACTAAAATCTTGAACATCCATGACAAGCCCCTCATTTGTTTTCTTATACATAAAACTTAAGGGGATGATTTCATGAACTCAAGCCATTTGTCTTTGTGCAAGGAAGATATACCAACATTTGCCTGAAGTTCTCATCATCAACTGAATGAAGTCCGAGGACAAGTTTTTCAATGTAGTTGGTCAGTATGCTCTGGATGTCCTATGGCACTGCCCTCTGCTGGCTCTACTGTAGAGGGTTTTGGTAAAACTTAAAGCCTTGGATTAGATCAGTGCCTCTCAAACTTTCTCTTTAAGTGCACGAAATCACCCGGTGGTCTTGTTAAAATGCAGAATCTAAGCCAGTAGGTCTGGGATGAGAACTGAGATTCTGCAGTTGTAATGAGTTACCAGGAGATGCAGATGCTTCTGTTCAGACATCATTGTTTGAGCAGCAAGGCACAAGATGTATCCAGGCACAATGCTGTTCTGACCATTAAGCTTTGTGGTTCTAGGCCTCTCCATGGGACTTGGTTCTCTCCTCCACTTCCTACCTTGTTCAGCTCCTGAATATCACACTCATTCCCTTCTCAAGTTAAATTTTCCAGTGGTCCTTTAAAGGTTTCTGAGTTCCCTAGGCTCATTGGCTATGCTGCCATGGACCGACTTATTCTAACAGGTAGCACCAGGTGACACATAGAAGGTTTACAAGGACAGAAACAGAGATTATTCAGCCTTTATTGGTAACTCTGCACAAAGAAAAACCTTGGATTGGGCCCTAGTGTGGGGCCAAGTAAAGGAAACACATAAATCAGACCTGGATCCTCAAATCAATGAGTTCATTCATTCCCCACCCATATTTACCAAGTCCTGGACATGCTGAGAGAACTGAGGCCAGTACTGGGACCTGCTCAATGATAGCCAGCATCCACAGTGCCCATCTATGTGTCCAGCTCTGTGTCATGTTCTTTACCTAACAGCATCCCTCTAAGGAATAGGGATGTTTATTGGGAGAGGAAGTCTTTCAAAAATTCTTTATTGTGGTTTCAATTTAGAGTGGCTTCCTGAATATAAAACTCAGCCTCGGGGAGGAAGATGGCGATGAGGTAGGAGGGAGCAGATTCCACTTCCCCCTACACACAGGAGAAAACCCTAGCTGATCTATGGAGGAACAGAGCAAACAACCAACAGTACCCTAGCATATATGAAAATAGGAGACCAAAAATTGTAGTGGACATTGAGAAACCAGAGTGTAAGGAGAGTGATCCGGGACAATAAGGTCCCAGGGACTAGCGTGGGGAAACTGCAGCCTTAGGCCTGGCACCCACAGGGCCTGCCATAGTGTCCTTGGGAGAGAGCTGGGTCAACTGCTCCCTCCCTGGCCAAACAAGGTTTAAGCAGCACTGGGAGAGACCTGGTTGCTTGAAGTCACAGAAAGGGGAATAAGGACTAAGTGGCAAACACACAGGGGCTATGAGCACCCACGGAGTCTGTGGTCACAGGTTGGGGAGAGTTGCACAGTGATGGGCCCTGATCCAATAGTCCCCAGTGTGTCTGGAGAATTGGCTGTGCAAGAATCCAGACCACTGTACAGAGTGGCAGGCTTGAGTAGGAGGAATTTCTCAAAAAGAAAAAGTAAAAAGAGACACTGGGGAATTCTCCTGCAGCAATTGCTCTGGCCTCCTCCCCACTCAGCTGAGCAGAGATCCTGAAGTTGAGCAGAAGGTCACAAGGAAGGCCCTGTGCACCCCCTTAGCACTGGGAAGGGTATGCACCCAAACCCATAGGACCTAGGCAACCTGGCTGAGCATGCATGTGCCCATATCCCAGCCAATAGCAGTAACCCCAGGGAAAGAGCTGTCTCAGGAAGGCCTGAATCCTACACCCAAGGGGCCTGGGAGAGGTGCCAGACTAGCTTTGGGGAGAGCAAGTTCAAATCAGGAAGAAAGAAAAGCCATACAAATGGCCCCTCAGCCTGGTGCAGCCAGCAACACCAGAAAAACCAGTTTGCCCAGTTTGAAAGCAACCAGAGCCTTTTCTCTCTTTTTTTAAGTAACTTTTAAACTTTTATAATATTTTTATTTTTCAATTCCTTTTTCCTCTCTTTTCTTCTTCCTTCTTTTATTCCTTCTTCTTTGCTTTCCAGTTTTAACTCTTGTTTCTTCCTTATTCTGCTTTTTTTTTCTTTTAAAAATACCCAAAAGTGAACAAAAAAAACCTGGAACTGTGAAAAGACCAAAGTTGGACCCAAAGAGGGGGCATCCCAAGAGCTGAGACACTGTGACAAATTTCACTTTGCTATTACAAAGAACCTGCAAGTTATTGCATATTGGTATTATTTTTTTATTATTCTTACATCTTTTATTTTAATAGTGTCTTTGTATTCCTCTTTTTTCTGTTCAGTCTTCTTTTGCTTGGCTGCTTATATTGTATCATTTGACAGGTTTCCCCTCTTCTCTCTTTCATAGTGTATTGCTAATTTACTGTCCCTCACTTCACTGGTGTTCAATTAGCACGTTATTCAAGGTCCTATACGCCCTCTTCTTGTTATCCAGATCACATAGATTCTGTCATATGATTGTTGCTCTACTATTATTGTAAATAACAGCTGTTCTATACAATTGTAAATACTTCACAACACCTCTCCCAGATCTTAGCCCACTTCATGATTTCCTGAACTCTATTATTGTAGTGGTTAACTCTGTTCTCTCAAACACTACACCTATTTACTATTCTTTGTTCTCACCTTATCTTAGAATCTGACCTCTCACAACCTCACTGCTTTCTTAGATCCAACTCACAATCCTTCCCTCCCCAAGAGACTTATCTTCTTTCCATCCTTTCTTAAAAGTGGCTATTTGGGTGGAAGGTCACATTTAACACTATACACAGCCAAAGGATCTCCTATCTCTTCTCTACTGGCTGCTACTGTAAATATCATAGAATACTCTCCTGCTATCATAAACCATTTTGCCTTCCCCCTCCAATTGAACACAAAAAGAGAGTGGGTGGAAGCAGTGAAAGCCAGGATACCCACTGGAAGAGGAGACCCAACCACAAAGGAACCACCAGCAGATAACAACAGAAAAAGGTGAAGAAGGGAGTGGAAACCACACAAATCTCAATCCAGGACCTATGTGTAAATATAATTAAATAGTGGAGAAACTACCCAGTACAAACATCTGAACAAGAGCAAGAGAGAATCCTCAACACCTTGCACACAGGGAAGAATCAGCTTCAACACAACCTGCCTTCACCAGCACAACAAAATACAAGAGGTGACCCTCAGGTAACCAGCTGGTGGGATGGACCCACCAAAGAAAGATCAAACAATAATCAAAACCCAAAGACAAACACAGAGCCAACTTAAATGACAGCCCAAGATGAGTAAGCTTGGGAGATCAAGGAGACTGCACCACTGAATCTCACAGGTACTCTATCTCACAAACAATGGGAAGACAAAGAAATAATCCCCAAATAAAAGAAAAGGAGGAAGCCTCAGAAAATGCTAGATGAAATACAGCCAACTATCAGATATCGAGTTCAAAGCAACGGTCATAAGGAAGCTCAATGAGCTCACAGAGAATTACCAAAAACTACAGGGAAACTACAATGAACTCACTGAAAACTATATCAACATGAAAAAGAAAATAGAAACCATCAACAAGGGCCAAGAGGAAATGAGGAATATAATTTCTGAACTGAAAAACATGGTAGAAGAAATCAAAAGCAGGATTGATGAAGCAGAAGATTGGATCAGTGAGCTGGAGGATAAAGTAGAAAAAACACCCAATATATGCATTAAAATAAAAGAGGCTCAGGAAGAATGAAGAGGAATTAAGAGAAATGCAAAACAATATGAAACATAATGATATCTGTATAACAGGGATACCAGAAGGAGAAGAAGAAGAGCAAGGGATAGAAAACCTATTTGAAGAAGTAATGATGGAAAAATTCCCTAATTTGATGAGAGGAAAACTCACACAAATCTAGAAAACACAGAGAGTCTCAATCAAGAGGAACCCAAAGAGGCCC